CGCTGCTGTTGTTGTTTTTGTGCAAAAACGGGAAGAGACCGCGCATCCTTAGGCAGGGATCCTCTGGCAAAAGACTTTGAGACTTTCTGGAAACGTGACGTGACATCATTGTCACCGTAGCCAGGCGTCTTCTCAAGTGGAGGCACGGTCAGCATGCTGGGCTCTGTAATCAAGAGGTCGCCGGTTCAATTCAATCATCCAAGTTTCTTAAATCACCTCTTTATTCGCCCCCGGAGAGATCCGATGAGCTGTGAAGCTCTTTTTCACAGATATCCAGTGGGGGGCCTCCGTCCACCCAGAAGAATAAATGGGTTCGCCGCAGTCAGTCAATGGCCAGCATTAGAGAGTTGGCCAATATACCCTCTGGAGCACCCTCTTAGTGCAGGCACTTCCACCAGTAGGGACGTGAGCAGAGAACTTGCAGGGCTCCACCTTTGATTTTTTTTTCTGTTACGCACAGAGCATATTTTGACAAAACTTGTTTACGAATAGTCTTTAAAAGGGCGCGAAAGTACAAGTCGCTACGTATTTTTACATCAATCAGTTAATGGCTTTGAAACAATTGTAACTCGTATTCTTTGGGTCTTTCGGTAGAGTCACGTAGATAGAAAAAATAATAACAATAAAAATAATTAATGAAAATAAAGTGAATATAAAAATATTAAAGAGAAAAAAATATCACGACGTTGTGATCGCAACACAAGCAATCGTCATCAGGAGAAAAGATGACGATTGATTGTGTTGCGATCGAAACGTCGTGATACTTGTATTATTTTTTATTCACTTTATAAAAAAATTATTTTATCATTTTATTGTTATTATTTTTGTTTTCTATCTACGTGACTTGACCGAAAGACCCAAAGAATATGAATTCCTGCAGTCACGAAAGCTTCAAGTCAATAATTGGAACGTTGTGAGTTTCAATTTAAGTTGAATTAGCCGATGTTATTATCATGTAATAGAGGTGTTTTGGGTTAGAAGTATAAAATATGTCGTTGAACCAGCCACCACCCGGACACAGCCAATTAGCGAGGTTAGCATGAAAATAAAACGTGCCAATTCGTTACTAGTTGAGCACACACCGGTGTGTTGGAGAGTAAATCCACAACATGTACTATTCTAGTTACGTGTTAAACCGTCATCATCCCGCTCCGTTCAATAAAAGAAGTACCACCGTGCGGTGAGCCAACAGTGGCGTGGCTCTACGGATAGTCAGACACCCAGAGTGGGAACGTGGAATCGAAATGACCGCTCGTCCATCGTTTTGCTGGAGTGCTTGTTCACAGACTGCCTAAACCACTCGGGGAAACTTGGGTGTAATAGTCGAGTGCTAAAAGACCACCAGCGTTGTGCCGGGCTGACTGAGCTAAGCTCAAACAATGCAATTTGGCAAACAAGCTTCTGACCTCTGGTGTGCTCGTGCGTGCAAAAAAAATCATTGGAATCTCGTAGCAGGATAGGATAAGCAAGTCAAAGGTTCAGAATACAACAACAGTGAAGTATTGTAGAAGAGATCAGGAGGAGGTCGTGATGATGGGTAGGACGCGTGCGTGTAGGGTGCAGGAGGAGGGAGCGGTAGTGTAGCGGTTAGAGCGCTGAACCCGGCGACCCGGGTTCGAGTCCCGCTCACAGCCAACACCAAGTGACGATTATCTGAACCGGACCTGGGCCTCCCCTAGGTCGACTCAGCCTCAAATGAGTAACCGGTTCGGTGTGTAAACATCGCCACTGGGGAGACAAAGGCGGTCGGGCGTGGTGCTGGCCACCCACCCCCTCATGTACCGTTGCAGCCTTCATCGGTAAGCTCGCTAACAGCACTTGCCCCTACAGTCTGTTAAGACTATACGGGAGATATTTTTCTTTGGAGGAGGAGGTAGTGGTGGGTGGGACGTGAGTGCACGGTGCAGGGGGGAGAGGTAGTGGTGGGTGGGATGCGTGTGCAGGGTGGTGGAGGCCAGGTCACCAAGACCGGCATTGCAGTGACACCCAGAGGTGGGTGAACAAGGGGAAGAGAAGACCTAAAGCCAGACGGAGGTGGTGATTGTGCAGGTCTGTAACAGACCTGCACAAAACGTGCAGGATCTGGCAGAATGAAGGTGGCACTGGCTGGGGGTATGATGGCACAAAGGCGTCGGCCGTGATAGTTTGTTGATGTCCATCTCTGAGATAACAACGATCAATCATAAAATTCCCATGCAACAATCCATTGATGACAAAAAAAAAACTACGAATCGGCTTTAACCTTTCTGGCAATACAACAGGAGGTGTTGAGATGTTCAAACACCAAACAGAAACCTTTCCTCAAGGCATCAAGTCTGCGTTAACCACACGGACTTGTGCCAAAATAAGCAAACAAATGTGCTCTGACTATGTTGCTGCTATAAATGCCCAAATGATGGGGCACTTTGTTGAGCTATCATTTGTGGCCAGGTCGCTTCTGAACAATCATTGAATACCTCAGTGGGCTTTGCCTGCTAGGATGGGGATGGTTTAGTGAAGTATTTGTTTGTGTTTGGGTGATTTTTTTTTACCTTTCTTGTACTTAGCACTCCTATCGTGTTTGTTGTTGTAACGTTCTTACCCCGCACCCCTACTGAACATCCGTGGAAAAGAGCTTTATAGCTCATCGGATTCCTCGATCGGAGCATGGCCTTGTCTCACCAATGCTAGACCAGAGAATGCCAAAAGGCAAACAGTAGATAGAATGCAAGTATCAACACATTAATAGCTCGGGTTGAACATCTGAACACAAGTTTTACTGCCAGGAAGGGTAAAGCCTATTATTATTATTTTTCTTCAACAATTCACTCCACGTGCCCCCCCCACCCCCGCCCCCCCTCCACCGAAAACATAAAACAATTCCAGGTGCAAGCCCAAGATTAGGCGAGGGGCGAACAGATCGACGATCGATCTCGCGACGCCGTTCACCGCCCCAGATGCCCTCAATCAGCGCGAGGAGCGAGCGCCTCCATCGACCGCGAGCCAATCCGCTCTCCGTGGCAGGGCCGGCCTTGGCCGCGTTCGTGAATCCCGTCTCCGCGTCGCCCGCCCAGCCCCCCTGCGGGGTTCTCAGCGCGGGCGTGCAAGCCGGACGCGACTGACCCCTGGCTTCCTGGGCCTTTGATAGCAACTTGACGTGTGCTGGGGGGGGGGGGGGGGGGGGTAGGGTGGTGGGGGGGGGGTATTTCGCCATACTTCACCCGCGTTGGTTCAGCGCGGGTCGGCGAAGGCGGAGGGGGTCACTTAGACGTGGGAGCGTACCGCGGTTTCCCGTGCGCCGACTCCCGCGCTGTGTTCCAAGCCAAAGCGTCTCACTGCTCACGCAAGCAGTCTGCTTTGGTGGTCCTGAGCCACCTCCCATGAACACGCTTGGCTATGTACGGTGCGGAAGAAGTTCAACATCTGGAAATTCCACATTCCCGTGACGGGGACTAGTCTACCCAGGGGACGAACACTGATGGCTTCCTACAAAGTGTTACCTCTGTTACAGACTCCAGAGAGACGACGATGATGATGATGATGATGACGAAGATGATGAAGACTTCAGATGATGACGACGATCTGAGTCAATCTCTCCGAACCAGGATTTGAACTCGCGACCTTTCGATCGCAGTCCAGCAATGGATTTTGTCTCACTGCCTCGGCTGCCAACCGCATGGCACCCATAGCGGCGCCTAGAGCACCAGTGCATTGCGTGGCGGTCGCTGACCCAAGTGCAGTGGATTAACACGCGCATACAGGGGCAACGGGAACGGTAAAAGGGAGATGGCCCAATTAAGTTGATATGCGATATATGGCTGTGATTGGACGGGTGTTGTTGTCAGGGGCAGAGTGGCGCCCAAGTGTCTGGAGATGGGGGTCGGTGATAGCGACAGGTGCGAGGGGCACGAGGCGTCTGAGCAAGCCGCCTAATTAATTGGTAGTCGATGGGAACGGGGATATATTCAGGGGACGAGAGAGCGGAGTTGGAGTTGTCGCTGGGACTGGAATGAAGCAGGTCGGGGAGAGACGGAGAGAAGACACAAGAGACAGAACAGGCTAGCAGTGGAGCAGAGACAAGGAGCGACAGAGAGAGATAGAGACAAGGAGAGACAAGACAGAGACAAGGAGAGACAAGGAGCGACAGAGAGAGATAGAGCCAAGATAGAGACAAGGCAGAGACAAGGAGAGACAGAGAGAGAGAGAGACGGAGACGAGATAGAGACAGAGAGAGATAGAGACAAGACAGAGACAAGGAGAGACAGGGAGAGATACAGAGTGGGACAAAGACAGAGTGAGACAGAGACAGAACGAGAGCGAGATACAGAGTGAGAAGGAGAGACAGAGTGAGACAGCGACGGAGAGAGACAGCGACGGAAAGAGACAGAGACAGCGAGCGACGGAGAGAGACAGAGACGACGCGGAGAGACAGTGAGAGATAGGGAAGGGAGCGGAGCGAGCGAGACAAGCGGAGCGCGGCGAGCGAGCTGTGGCGAGCAGAGAAATGATGAAGTTACAGGCGTAATGTGGAGAGTTGTAATAAAAGTGGTGTCGGAGAAAAGAAGTTGTCCGTGTGAAGTCGACCACTACACAAGCACTAACCAGGCTACAAACTGCTTAGCTTCCAAACTCTCATAGGATGGGGCGCATCCCACGTAGCCTGGTCCCAGGGGAGACCTGTATTCCGTAGATGTTAAAACATAAAGATGCAGCCCTGAAATTTGCAATCAATCACGCCATTGCTTGTGAAAGGGGCCTGCAACTAGAAGGAGTTCTTGAGGGTATTTGACCTTTTCTTCCACCCTCGCCAGACAAATTGGAAGGGGTGGCAATGCCTACACTTCAACCCACCACACATGATCTGCAGGTCGACTAACTATATAGCACGTTAAACATACGGTGACAATGGTGAAGATGGTGACGATGGTGACGATGGTGACGATGACAATGGTGACAGTGACGAGGGTGACGATGGTGACGATATCATTCGCTTCTCGCTTGTCGTGCAGCGGTCACGTTACCTGAGCTAAGGTGCGTTGTGTTACCATCCGCTCCGATGCAGTGCGGGGTGCCATGCTTACCTGCAACAAAAACAACACAAACAATCATCACAACAAGCACTGCAACACGCACCACAACACTCACCACAACACTCACCACAACAATCACCATAACACGCATCACAACACGCATCACAACACGCACCACAACACGCACCACAACAACACGCGTGTTCCGGATCGCACTGCGCATTGTTGTGCACGAAGTCCGACGTTTTGCTCCACGCGTGCCATGCAGCACAACGGCCCTCTGCAGGGTATTTGGCCTCCTCCTCCACGCCGACCAGACATCCTGTGAGAGGTGGCGGTACCCACACTTTACCCCACCACACGTGACCCGTCAGTACTAACTGCAGAGCACCCATTTGTCCCGGTGGGTGGACAGAGGCGAGAGGATTTAGGAAAAGTGCCTGGCCTGTAAAACCCCCAGAGAAATAGTAATTGAGACTCCCATGCTGTGCTATCCACAAAAATATGAAATGTTTTCATCCTTCGGCCTCCTATTCGCTTTCCAGACCAATATAATAGTTAAAATTGTTGGGATTTATGGACCAGCTGGCCAGGATTGCGCTGGAACATCGCTCCACTTTGCACCCAGCGAACCGGAAAGCACAGCTCCAGATGTGTCTCGACTCATCCACGGCGGTAAAACGATCAATTGTATTTTAAGAATGCACAATTAAAAACAAAATAACGTCGAGGCAATTAAGAACAATTTAAATACATTTAGCTTTTTTTTTGTTACTTGAAACCTTACCAATGATTTCTAGACTGCCTGGCACACGACGATCCAGCAGCCCAGTGTATAGGCAGTCGCACTCTGGACCGGTTTTTGGGTCTCACCGGCAAGCGCACGCCACATACAAGATTTGGGATTCCCATTTCGCACTTAAATCCCCCCCCTCCACCCCCCGAGAAATCTAAAAACGGGAGGCTCCCTTGACGGACTCTCCTGCCCGGCTTGTTCACCACCTCCCCTTCCGCCGTGTCGAGCGCGTTTACCGGAATCGAGATGGGCTTAACACGGCGGCAGTGTGGCCTAACGGAGCCCTGGAAGCTGCCACAGCATATGCTCGAACATTTGCAAGATCACCTTTGCTTATGGTCATTAAATATTTACCGGGTGGGTGGTGAGCCATAAATCCTCGCTGACTTTAAACAAAAAATAGGGTCTGTTCTTCAAATTAGGGTGACAATACACGCGCACATTTCTCTCCCGTCACCAATCCGACCGCGCTATCCGTGTCACGGCGCTGGGATATGAATGCGAGGTCTCGAGTACTGTATAGATATTCAGTCAGCGTTAAAGCCATGATTGTCATAATCTGCAGCATCGGCAGCAGAAATACCAGGAAAAAACAGCATGAGCAACAGCGTCATGAATATCAGTACCAGCAGTGTCATCATTATCAGCAGCAGCAGCAGCAGCGACATCAGCAGCGGCAGCAGTAGTATATCGTTCTCCTCATACAACATAAGTATCAGCATCATCTTCGGCTGCAGTGTTTTCATCATCAGCAGCAGTCACATCATCATTTTCTCCCTCTAGGGTGAGTAAAATGAACCCCAAACGTAAGGAGAGGTAATTTGCTCACGAAGAGAAGAGACCGCGTCGTTTTCATAGGAATATGGAAATTCCACCAGGTGCTCAAAAGCTCTATGTGATTTTTTAAAATTTCATTATCAACTAACTCAACTATTATTATTATTTTACCAGGTAAGGCCAACTGTGCTACATATCTCGTTTTCAGAAGCGACCTGGTCACAAATGATCGGTCAACAAAGTGGTTTATCACGTGGAAATTTACAGCAGTCAAATACTCAAAAAGTATGTTTCTAAATGTGGAAGGAAAAACCGGTGTACCCGGAGAAAAATGCGCGTGACCACAGGGGGAGAGAGAGAGACATGTAAACCCCAAACATACAGGCGTCAGGGTAGGGAGCGAACCCACGTCCTCCTGTATAACAGGCGAGGCTATTAACATTTATTCGCCGTGGGACTTCAGATAGGAATATCCAACCCACTGTCGACTGCCCAGAAAATGGTAGTCATTGTATCGACCGTCCAGGGTCATAATTGTCTTAGAGCGGTGCACTCCCGGGCTCGCACGTTCATTCCGCTCCAACTCGACCTCGAGCAAATAGGCGACAGGCGCCCCCCGCCTGCACTGCGACGCGCAGGGGCGTGCTCCCTGGCCGTCGCCGGCAGATGGCGATGCCCTTCCTCTGGAATGCCACGAGACCCTGGACCTGGTACGGCTCTCGGTGTCGTGTCGGGCAGCTCCCCGCCCCCACACCCCCCCGGGCGCTTCACGTTTGGTCGACGGCGGTCGCCCCACGTGGCCCGCGCTCCTCTCGACCTCCGCGCTCCTCGCTCGCGTTTTGTTTGATCCGTGGTGCCCTCGTACATGAACTTTTTTGTTTACACATATATCGTTGTTCATTTTTGTTACAGGAGATTTTTTCTGGGGGGTGGGGTCGAGGTTCAAATGTTAAGTGTTTTTTGGAACAAATTTGCATGAACGACTCTATATCAAAACGAAATAATTGATTATATATTATGTACTCATACGTACGAAAATCACAGCATTGTGCTGGCGAGGCTCCGTGAGTTATGATAATTATTATTGCAGGATTGAACTACACGAGGCTATGAGCAGGAGTGGTGGTGCAGCGGTTTGCGTGCTAGTGCCCGATGCACCCCGGTCACCTGAGCCCGATGATTCCAGGCCACGGTTGACATCAGTAGCGAGTGATATCTAAACTGGTGCTGGTCACTCCCCCTCCCACTCCCATCCCCTTTTTCACTAACCCGCAGGTCCCCCACTGACCAGCGTGGTGAAGTATGGTCGCATGCATGTATGTTGAACTCCTTTCGCACCGTACATAGACAACCGTGCTAATCGCGCCAAGCTGCAGCGAGCGCTCCCCGAGATGCGATTAGCCAGATCCCGATAGCGAGAGTTACTGCTGCTGCTGCGTTTCCTATTGAACAATAAGCATCCACACAACAAAAATCGCCATTTGCCACTAAGTAGAGGTGATGTTACCACAGCGCTCATGCCGAGCTAGGTGCACTGAGGCCACGTGAAGTGTCAAAGGCTCGCTGACATTAGGTCATGGGACAGACCCAGGTGCCATGGTTTGATTGAGATGATTGGCGGATGCACCACCTGTGCTCCCTCCTGTGCCAAATTGCTGCGTTTTAGCCGCCCGGCGCTCCGCTCGTTGTGAGAGTCGCTGCTCTGCCCTCCGCTGTTGTTGGATGGTGACTCCTTCCAACTGCCCGGTAGTGTCCTTCACGAGCCTCATCCACAGAGGCCAATCTTGACACTGCTGGTACCAGGTATCGGCAAATCCACTCAGCTCCACATCCTCCTCTATCGCATCAGCCCATCTCTTCTGTAGCCCGTGGTCTATCCAGCTAAGTAGAAACTGCTTGGGCATGCAGTGGATGGTCATGCAGACTATGTGACCCAGCTAATGCAGCCTTGCTTACCAAAGGAGCTCACCAATGGGACTGTCCAGATCTTTCAAGGTTCTATGAGCTCCTCACACAATTTAGTCTGGTTAAACCCAAGATACATCGTAGGCAGGCCAACCGGAATTTCTCAAACAGGCGCAGATTTGCCTTTAAAGAGTTCCGCAATTCGCAAGTATATAGAAGGGAAGGCATAACTGTGGCCGAGAAAACCCAGGAGCTTTTCGTATGGAGCGACAGGCCAGGCAGCTTCCATACAGCATCACGCAGCTGACAAGAAGATAATGCCGCTCAACTGATTCGGAGTTTGACCTCTGCTGCCAAACCGGAGCTGGTCATAAGCACACTGCCCAGGTACATGCACACACACTCGTACACATATTCACTCATGCACACGCATCTACACGTGTGCATACACATGCCCGGCCGCACTGTTTTCACAGTGCTGATGTTTACACATTGCACCAGGTACTCGTGTAAGGCCGAGTCGAACTAGGGCAGGTCCAAGACCTGTTCAAAAATTCGTAAATGACTTTGGCCGTGAGCGGGAATCAAACTCGGGTCGCCGCTAACCACTGTGCCACCGCCCATCACTACCACACAAACACACACATCACCATCGACGGCCCTGATTAGCTGGTCACGGAAATTCCACATTCCTCTGGTGGGGGGCCAGTCTGTCTGCAGGTAAAAATCATGGCGCTAAATATATTAACTAAAAGTATTTGAAATGAAGTGCAAGTCAAAGCCCCGTTCTTGTATTGGGACGTGAGTATCATTTCCAGTTGCATTTCATATGTACAAACAGGGCTGATATCACTGTATATACGCTCGGTATGCTTAAACAATTCCACCTAAATACTCGCACAGTGGCGCGCCAAGTTCCTGTTCAATCTGGGCACAGCCCTCCCTCGCTTGCTCACAGCGCGAACCAAATTCATTCTTCATGGGACCTTTCTTGTCAGTGTCAAAATATGAGAATTGGTTTCAGCATTTGTGGCATTAACACCGAACAGAAACCTTTTGCAAAGAAACATGTCTGCATTAACCACACACACTTGTGGTGAACATGCAAACAAAGATAATTATATATGCAGTCTTTGCACAAGAGAACGAGAAGGTTCGCCCTTTGGCGTTCTCTGGTCTGACGCTGGTGAGACTAGGCCATGAAGAAGGCCGTCTCTGGTGTAGGCCAATCAGTTGCAAAGACAATGCCATCTATTAACAGAGCATGTTTTTTTTTGCATGTTCACCACAAGTACTGTGTGTGTGGTGAACATGTAGACATGCTTCCTTGCAAAAGGTTTCTGTTTGGTGCTTTAACACCTCAACACGAAGTGTTTTATTGCCAGCAAGGGTAAAACAAATTCTTACCAATTAATTCTGTCCGTCCAGTGCCCACAATGCTCGCCGAGTTGCATTGGCTTCCGGTGGCCGAACGGATAAGTTAAAAGGTTGCACTCATCACACGCAACGCAAAGTGATTGCCACAAATGAACCTAAATACCTTGCTGATCTCGTCAAGGAGAAAAAAACCATC